GGAAACAGCATTTTTTAAACGGCCTCCTACGCGTAAAACACCATTTTCATCCATGTAAGGTCTAAGACGAAATAATGGACTATNTTCATCCATGTAAGGTCTAAGACGAAATAATGGACTATTAGAAGAAACAAAAGGCGTAGGGTGAATTAAATTTTTTATTTCAGAAGAAAAATAATCATTTTGTACATGCTTTATCAGTCTTATGTTCGCCTGACTTAATTCACTGACCTCTAAAGAGGCTATTTTTCGATCCGATTTACGTCCGGCATTATAAATAAAACGATAGCAATACGAGATAACACGCAATATTTTCTGATAATTTGAGCATCTATAAAATAAGAGAAAATTGTCTTGTGTTGTATTCGCGACTAAGTTAATAGAATTATAATTTTCAGTACACTTGAATTCAGGTAAAATTAAATTACTTATTGTCTCTGCCGTGGTTTGACATTCCTCACAATTCTTTTGTAACTACTGTGGCCCTGACCACCATAAGGACGACTTAGACAATTCTTCGGAATAAGAACCACGAGATTTTTCATCCGCAGGATTAACTTGCGATTTCACGTGCGCCCACTCGGCTCTTGAAGTTATTTCCTGTATTCCGCCAACCCTATGAACGACAAAAGTTTTCCATTTAGCGGAAAATGATGAAATCCAGGCGAGAACAATATTTGAATCAGTATACAAAAATCGTTTACAATAAGCTATTTGAACATTTTTAACCACCTTTTGCGCCAATCGCGCAAGTAAAAGTGCCGCACATAATTCGAGGCGTGTTAAAGACACTGTTTTTATAGGAGCTACCTTAGACTTCGCACAAATAAGACGGACAATATGTTGGCCTTGTTCATTAGTGGTGCATAAATATAACGCTGCTCCATACGCACGAATGGAACTGTTTGAGATGTGGCCCGAAGGAGACAGAATTAAAGTTAAGTTTGAAGGCGAAATAGGGTAGAAGATTGTGACCAACTCTTAAGCGGGAAAAATCAACAATAGATTGCCTCAAACTTTGTTAAATTGTACCGATCAATCACTCCATATCCCTCAAATCTTCCCTGGTCTAATCGTCTTGATCTCCCCCGCAAATCTAATTTGGATTAAAATATTAAAATTAAAATTATTATATTCTAAAATATTTATTCATATTTATTGTTATTTTATGATAATTTAAATAAATTATTTACAATAGTTGTGTTTTTAGCTTACATTCAGATATATTTTTTTTAATGTGTATTAAATTATTTTATATTAAAGCCTTTACTATTAATTATAATCGAGAAATATTATATTTACATTTGATAAACATCGAGAAATCAATTATATCATCTTATTTAGTCATATATTATGTTGCCATAGTGATTAACAATTAGTAAACTTTAATAAATTTCATTGAACAAATTAAACAATAAAAGTTAAATAAAGCTAAGATTTCTCATTAAATATTTATCATGGAAGGTGACTCAATATATGAAATAAATCATGAAGAACTACCTCAAGATAGTATCGACACATATATTAAAGATCTTGAAGATATTATTCAAGAAAAGTAAATTGTTTTATTTTTATATATTATGTTACTTATAATATGTTTTGCGAGGCAATAAAATTTTATTTTTAATAATACTTGGCAATAAAAAAAATAATTCAGAAAATTTATTCAAAATAATTCTCTGTTTATGTTTAAAAGCTAAAGTTATTCATTTCATTAAATAAATTTATAGAATAAAAATATTGCCATATATTTACTATCAATTCATATAAATTGATTGTCTCAATTATTTAAAATTAATATTTTTTAGTGAATTACCCAATAATTCTCCTAATTGGATAGTTGCTTCATTAGATGATGTTTTTATGTGGATACAAAAACATTTAAACAGATTTTTCAAATCTGATCAAATTTTGTCAACTAAACAGCTTAAAAAACAAATAAAAGTAGGCATCTAATAAATTTTTTTAAAGTTACTATAACAAATTAATATTATTATAAATTATATAAAAACAATGAGGTATACTGAAAATTGTTATTTGTATCTTCGTGCACTAATTAATTTACATTAACTTTAGATCACTAAATTAAATGATATGATAAACCATCTTAAAAATATACATTCAACTTATGAATACAAATTGGAAAAAAAAGAAAACTTTTATCAAAATGCAATTAAAAGCTTAGAGTCAAAAATTTCAAAAATGCTTGAAGATAATAGAAAATTACAGGTAAATTATTTAAAATGAAACTTTATAAAAAAGTGTAATTAAAAATCATGTAGCTGTATTTCTTAATAGTATTTATTTATTTGTTAAGCTTGAAACAGCAATAAAATATCTCATATATAGATATTAGAAGATAAAATACACTAATATGTACACAACAATAAATATATGAATTAAATTTTTTTAATAATAAAAATTATAATTATACAAAAAAAAAATTTCAGGATTCTGTGAAATCATATTCAACCCATGCTACAATGGAGCTAGAAAAAATGAATGTTGTAATAAAAGAAATGGAAATAGATACTAAATTTAAGAAAAATCAAAAGATGCTACAAAAAGTTAGTATTTTTTTTAAAATAAATAATAGGTTTTACAATAATTTTTAGGAGTTTGTACCAATAATTGAATAATAATATTTTTTAAATTATTCTTAAATGAATTGTATTACAATTTATAAATTATGTATACTTATATTATAACTTATATATAAATATTTTTTTACTAATATGTTTAACATATTATTTATTAACAAAAGATAAAAATAATGAGGTATACTGAAAATTGTTATTTGTATCTTCGTGCATTAAGTACTTACATTAACTTTAGATCACTAAATCAAATGGTTTCATAAACCATCTTAAAAATATGCTGTCAACATATGAATCCGAAGTGGAAGAAAAAGAAAACATTTATATAAATACAATAAAAAGATTTGAGTCAAAAAGTGTAAAACTCGTTGAAGAGAATGTGAACTTACTGGTAAATTATTTAAAATTAATCCTTATAATAAAGGTGTAATTAAAAATCATGTAGCTGTATTTCTTAATAGAATTCATTTATTTATTGTCATACGTTGGTATTGCCACAATGTAGACACAAAAGTTTTACACAAATCAATTATTGTTATATATATATATATATATATATCGACGACGAGTTCGTCTTTCAAGATCTTCTCGTGTCCTCCCGTTGGATAAACTGATCATACCCAATCCCTCAAATTAGTGAACTACCAAAGGGGTAGAAGTTATCACATCATTTCAATAATTTTTTTTATAAATATATCTATATATATATTTTTTTTTATTCAACTCTTTAATTATGTATATAGTTTTTTTTTTATGCAAATGCCTATGTGTCTAGACAAACAAGGTAATAAAAGTTTTTTTTTTTTTTATTATGATACTTAGTAGCATACTATTATATAAGGATTTTTCCTTTATAATGGAATGAGTATTAGTTTGTGTGTTGTACCAGAGTTCAGTTTTTTTTTTCCAAAAAGAAATAAAAAAAAAATAATATTAAAGTTTATATCCCAGTATTTTTAACTCTACTTATGATTTATATAGCCCTCTAATTTACATATCTTCTTTGTTGTTGATTACTGTTGTTGCTTTTATACTTTGTTGAATGGCTTCTTGTTCTTTACGGTTAATTTCTAGTTCGCATAATAGTCTTTTCACTTGTTTTGCTAATTTTTTTGTCTGATTTCTTTGTTTGTGAGTGGGTCATTTCCTCTTGGGTTTTGTTGATTTGTATAAGCTTCTTTCGATTTCTGGTTTTTGTTTTATTGACAGATACCTCACATTAGCGGGCTGTGTCATTTTCTGTTAAGTGTTTGAGTGTATAATTATAATAAACTTCTAATTTTATTATTTGATCTTTGTATAAACTACCTGATATGGCCCCACTTACTAAGACAATGTCATATCTTCTAAACATTCCAAATTCAAAATCTATAATATAAAATTTGTAATTCTTGTCCATATTGTAAAAAGTTGTAGTAAAAGTATAAAAGAGTCTGTCGAAAGTTATAAGTTAGATTAACGAGTTTTACCTGTGAAAAATAAAATTTATTAGCTTAAATTAATGTTAGTGTAGTTTGTATGTTTCATGTGAGCAATAAGTTAATATATGATAAGTATTTAGAATTGTCTTCTTAGAACTGGAAGTGGCACTAAAATCATATCCATTCTTATTATTACAGGATATATTTTGCAACACATGAAAATTATGACCAGTGATAATATTGTCAGCCATGATAAATATATTATATCCCCAAGAAATTCAACTATAAAAGGTTGTGATATTTGTTCTAAAATGATGTCATTAAAGTACTTCTCTGAATTTGGTATTTGTTTTGTAATGTGAAAATTTGGTATTTTATTTACCCAGTCTCTGTCTAAAATATCTGTTAAGTTTGCAAAATATATTTTTCACTCTGTATCTCATGCTGTATTTTAAGTGACTGTATATAAGTCCATGATATCGGAATTACACGTCTAATTAAAAATTTTCCTATATTATTTATTTTGCATGGGTACAATTTGGGTATGAGTATGTCATCATTTTTTTAATAATTCTTGATTACATGGTGAGGTTAGTTTTATTAGACCAGGGTAGTTGTAATTGAGTATTAAGTTATTTAGAGTAGTGTTATTAGTGATAAATGTTCGAATGTTTAAAGTTGGGAGACAGTTAGTTATTGCAAATGTATTTATTCATATTTGTTTAATTATTATAGATTCGTCTTCTTGTTAATTAAAACACTGTAAATAACAATATTTATTTATTTATTAAGTGGTAAATTTTTGAANTTTATTTAGTTTATTAAGTGGTAAATTTTTGAAAATAGCTTCTACGAATTTTGGTGTTAAAGTAATATCAGTTGAAAATTTTGGAATGAAACAAAGTACTATACGGGAGGATCGCAATCTCTCAAGGATAGACCTGATATTAAATGGTGTTCTTTGTTAACATAATTGACTGCGATATAAGTTTTTTCTGAATAGATAAGACATATAGAATCGTTAAATTTGAAATGAGTAGTAGGGTAAAATAGAGAGTTCTGGTTCCCCCCCGCTTCACCCACCCACCCTATACCACCGTTGTATATGGGAAGAGGGGTGGAGGGGGAGTAAATCCAACGTAAACTAACATAATGCAATGGGAGGGGGAAC